CCCCAAAACCCCAAAACCCCAAAACCCCACAATCGTTGATTTCAGGGTAAATTTTTAAAATTATTAAATTAAGATAGATCTAGGTTAGTTTATAATAATACCAAGGTTTATTGAATAATCAACAGCTAATAGGATTATATTTGTCAACAAAATCAGAAATCCTCGTCTTCTTCATTTTTATTTCTGAGTACATCATCCACTTTTCTTCTAGACTGCCTTATCTTACTATGACTTCTGACTTAGCTGGTGCTTTTGCTGTTGCTATTGCTGTGACCATTACTAATACTCATCCCACTACCTCCATGTTATTTCGCCTTGCTATCTATTGCATCAGCATACCCTTTCAGAGCATTGCTCAACTTACAGAGTAGCTGTGCATGCTCTAATTTAAGATTTTTCTCTTTTTCCTGTCCCTTTATCCTTTCTTAAAGTAGTTGTATGTCACCTTCCTTTTTCACCAGTTCTCTTTTCAAGTTGTTTATCTTCTCATCCCCATCCTTTTTAACTTGTTTTAATGACTTAATCTCATCTTCATAGATAGTCTTCATATTTTCCATAGTAATGTCAAAAGCTCTTCGAGTCTCTTGCTTAGTCAACTGCAATCTCTCATAATGTATCTTTTCCAAATCCTTCATCTTCAACTCATACTCCTTAGTCAGCTTTAACCTTTATATCTCAAATTCCTTAGTCTGCAGTTACTAGCCTAAAAGCTTTAATATGCCTTTGACATCAGATTAGTCCAAATTACTTAAGGCTCCTCCCCCAATACTACCTTCTTAACTATTCATTACATTCATCTACTGGATAGCATTCTGTTGAATCTGAATCTAAGCCAACTTGGCTTATTTCTCTATTTCAAACTCAAGTCTTCTGATTTAGTCATCTTTTTTATTTAGTTCAAGTCTTAATTCATCTATTCTGGACTCATACTCTAGTCTGGTCTCTTATCCCTTTTCTCTGATTTCTCTGACAAGCTATTGATTCTTCTCTTTCTCCTCCTTAAGCATCTCTTTAGCACTATCTTAAAGCCCTTGAGCAACTTAATACTTCTACTTTAACTCCATATACTGCTTATCTTATTCAGACTTTATCATAAAGAACAGCTAATCACAATCAGAGAGCAATCTGTTTATCCCTAGTCGCTCTGATATATCAAACTTAGCAGGACCTCTAGCATTTTCCTTGTAGAATTTACGCATTATGTCCCAGTCACTTTGAAGTTACTTAAAATCTTCAAATTCATTAGACTGAACTTTCTGCCTAATTTACTCATGAAACTTGAGGAACAAGTCTTCGCACACTTTTTCACTAGCTGTGTAATTGTTTTGCTAGATTATATCAAAGATCTACTCTAGCTTATCATCATATGCTTAACGCATCTCTATTAGTTTCTCTGGAGGGGAATTAGCAATAGTGAGCGAGTTCAAAATTGTCAAGGATTTTTATTTTCCCTCTTTCATTAACTGTCTTAGCTCTAACTCTTCAAGTGGGAATCTCTGAAGGATAACTTCTTAAATGTATTGATTGAGTTACTCTAGAGCTAGTTCATAGATTCTCTTAATCTCACCATCGATGACTCTCTCCCAAGCACTTGATATTGTCGGCACTGCATCAGAATTCATAGCCTAGACATAGCAGTCAGCCAGTTCACAAAACATCTTGCCTGAGAGTGTCTAACCCTCAAGTAACTTAGGTCTAAGATTGTAGAAAATCTTCTTTACCATTCCCTCTAGTTACATTCTGAACTATGGCCTGAGTGAATCATAAGGTAGATTGTTAATCTCTCTAAGTTTCTTCTCGTCTGAGACTGGCCTAAATAGCACTGTGCAATCTCTTTCTTAGAACATAGTCTGAAGCACCTATCTGATCTCATTTTTTCTCTTTATTATCTCAACTCCATTATCGCCAATAAGTTCTCTATTGACCTCAACTGGTCTTAGAGCATTCTCTAGATATTGCTTGGGATTGATCTCATTGTCATTATCATCCACCATCTGTAATGCAAAGTCTCTGATTACCCACATAAACTAAGGGAAGTATCTAGCCATATTAGCACCTTGGTCATCACTCAAGTTACTTGGCTTTGAATTCACATGGATGTGTTTACTCAAATTGCAGACTAGAGAGAGTGCTTCCAAGGCATTTTCGTCTATAGCATTCATGCAGTTGAAAACAAAGTATGATGATAACAAAACTGAGAGTGAGAAGATCTTAATGTCAATCACTTAGTCTCTGTTGCATGATCCCAGTCCTTCAGTGTCCAGCAATATCGCATGCATATCCTAAGAAACTCTAATAGGCCTTCCCCAAATCCATAAACCCTTGGTGCAACTTTAAACAGTAGAGCCTATTTCAAACCCATCTTATTTTCCTAATAGTCTGTTTAGCAGGAAACTTTTGCCAGTTCTATACGGTCCAGCTACACATATTATTGCAATCTATATTATATTGAACATTAGCTTTAAGCTCAATGATTTGATGTCAATATTTGAGTCATTTTCTTATGAAACCACAATGAAATGATCTTGTTTAAAATGAAGTCGAATACTTACCTTGGTAGTAATCTTTGAAAGCATGTCGAAAGCTGAATGATTTATTTTGCATTTGCCTTTATCATCAATCTAAATAAATTGAATAGGCTCATCTGGAAACTGGCTTAGATCAACCGAGTCGTATTACTATGAACTACTACCTCCAGATCTGTGAGAATATTGCTTGCTGAAATTCGATTGCATTTTTAAATATGTATAAATTACTTAATTTCTCCAATCGAAGTCGTTTTAAATGATCGAATACAACTCGGGGTTTTGGGGTTTTGGGGTTTTGGGG